GCCTGCCCAGAGTCCTTCCTGCCCTCCCACCCTCGCCTGCTCCTACCTGTCTCCCCTGTGTCGAGGGACGGCAGCGCGCCGCTCCTCACTCCTCCTCGTTCCCCCCGACGACTGCTCCCTTGCAGACACTCCACATGGACGTGTGGGGCCCAGCCCGCGTCCGTGGTCAGGGTCAGGAGAGGTACTTCCCGATAGTTGTTGACGACTACTCGCGCTACAACTCGGTCTTCCCCTTGCGCACCAAGGGTGAGGTCCCTGATGTCTTGATCCCTTGGATCCGCAGAGCCCGTCTCCATCTCAGCAGCTGCGTGAGTGGTACTTAGAGTACTGCAGCCTCCGGAGAGGTTCCACTCGTGCCGGACGTACTGCTGGGACTGGTACTAGTGCTTCTTCTCCCGTTAGGGAGCTCCCCTCCCGCGAGCGGATCTGTGAGTGGTACGAGCGGCGCTGCACTCTTCGGATTGGCGTGCCTCGTGTTGCGGACCCCACTGCCGTTGGAGCTGCTGCTGGTGCTGGGGACCCGGGCGTTGGAGCTGCCGCTGGTGCTGCAGACCCGGGCGTTGGAGCTGCTGTTGGTGCTGAGGACCCGGGCGTTGGAGCTGCCGCTGGTGCTGCGGACCCGGGAGTTGGAGCTGTTGCTGGTGCTGAGGACCCGGGCGTTGGAGCTGCCGCTGGTGCTGCGGACCCGGGCGTTGGAGCTGCCGCTGGTGCTGCAGACCCGGGCGTTGGAGCTGCTGCTGGTGCTGACAGCCCGGGCGTTGGAGCTGCTGCTGGTATTGCGGACCCGGGAGTTGGAGCTGCAGCTCGTGCTGAGGACCCGGGTGGTGGAGCTGCCGCTGCTGCTGCGGACCCTTGGGCGAGTGTTCCTGCTGACTCTGGTGTCGCTGCTCGGTCCCGGCCGTACTTCGTTCCACTCCTGCAGCAGGTTCTTGGTCAGCTCCCTCCTCCTTGTCCTCCTCTCTCCTTAGCGTGTCCTCCGTCTGTCCAGCTGCAGTCACAGCTACCGTCTGCCTCCTCTCTCCCTGGTCCTGCTCCTTACACTGGTCCGACTGGAGGTCTTACTGAGCGTCGTGAGCCTGAGTCTTGCCCTGCGTCACCTGTCCGCACTACTCTCTCTAGCAGTCGTGTCCAGCGTCAGATACTTCCTGTTGTCCCAGGCACTCACAGGATGGCGCTTCGTCCGTCCACTGCGCCACAGCGTGTCCCACTGCCGTCTCCTCCTACTTCTTCTCTTCCTGCTCTTGCTGACCCTGGGTCAGACTCTCTTCGTGCTGCCAGTCCTACTGTCACGCGTCTCCTGGCTACTGTTGTCACAGACCCTTCCTTTGAGTCTGCTGCTGCGTCTGCCTTAGTTGCTGAGCTTGTCGACTTTGCTGCTCGCTGTCGTCTAGACTACGCTGCTAGCCTAGTTGCTGACTCTGCGTCTGTCTGTCCTCCGTCCGTCGGGGGTGAGTGTGCTCTTGGCACTGACGTCCTTGAGGAAAGGAAGGAGGAGTTTGAGTGCTTTGCTGCCGCTTTGCCCCATCTCGTGTCCATGCTTGTTGCCCCTGAGGGAGACCCGGATGCACCAGACATCCCGACCCCACGCTCTTACGCAGAAGCGATGGCCGGTCCCTACTCCTCTCAGTGGCAGTAAGCCATGGACACAGAGATGGCTTCCTGGAAGTCCATAGGCACCTACGTCGACGAGGTTCCCCCACCTAGGGCGAACATCGTCAGTGGCATGTGGATTTTCAGGGTGAAGCGGCCGCCGGCCTCTCCGCCTGTCTTCAAGGCGCGTTACGTTGCACGAGGCTTCAGTCAGCGACAGGGAGTTGACTTCTTCCAGACCTTCTTCCCGACCCCGAAGATGACCACTCTTCGGGTTCTGCTGCACGTGGCCGCTCAGCGTGACTACGAGCTCCACTCGCTTGACTTCAGCACTGCTTTCCTGTAGGGCAGCCTGCACGAGGAGATCTGGCTGCGCCGTCCACCTGGCTTCACTGGGTCGTTCCCTCCTGGTACCCAGTGGAGCCTCCGACGGCCAGTCTACGGTCTCCGCCAGGCGCCTCGTGAGTGGCACGACACACTGAAGACTACGCTTGCGGCTCTTGGGTTCGCGCCTTCTACTGCTGACCCGTTGCTGTTTCTACGCACCGACACCTCACTGCCGCCGTTCTACGTCCTTGTGTACGTCGACGACTTGGTCTTTGCTACTGCTGACACTGTGGCACTCGCCCACGTGAAGTCGGAACTGCAGAAGAGACACACGTGCACAGACCTGGGTGAACTGACAAGCTATCTTGGCTTGCGGATCACCCGGGACAGAGCACGCCGCACCATCACCTTGACTCAGTCACACATGGTGCAGCAGGTCCTTCAGCGCTTGCGCTTCACGTACTCCTCGCCTCAGCCCACTCCTCTGCCTATCGGTCACTCGCTCTCAGCTCTGCCTTCGGATGAGTGCGTAGAGCCGAGTGGCCCGTATCCAGAGCTTGTGGGTTGCCTCATGTACCTGATGACCTGCACTCGACCAGACCTTGCATACCCTCTCAGCATTCTTGCACGCTATGTCGCTCCCGGCCGTCACCGGAAGGAGCACATGGATGCAGCTAAGAGGGTGTTGCGCTACTTGTGCAGTACGTCGGGCATGGGGCTAGTGCTTGGAGGGCGAGTCCCAGTTGTTCTCACTGGGCACTCAGACGCTTCTTGGGCAGACGACCAGGCTACTCAGCGGTCGTCTTAGGGTTACTCCTTCAGTCTTGGCTCTAGTTTCGTTTCTTGGCGTTCTACTCGCTCTTCTTCTGTTCTCAGCTCCAGTTGTGAGGCTGAGATCTACGCCACAGCCATGGCGGCTCAGGAGCTACGCTGGCTTACCTACTTGCTGACCGACCTTGGAGAGCAGCCTCGTTCTCCTCCAGTGCTGTACGTCGACAACAAGGCAGCCATTGCCTTGTGTGAGGAGCACAGACTGGAGCACAGAACGAAGCACATTGCTCTGCGTTACTTCCTTGCTCGAGAGCTGCAGCAGCGTGGTCAGCTTCGCGTGCGTTACGTGGCCTCTGAGGCCAACACTGCTGATGTGTTCACCAAGGCGCTTCAGCCTTGTGACCATCAGCGCTTTTGCACTCTTCTAGGCCTTGTGCCTACTGGACCTCACTTGCTTACTTCTTGAGTCTGTTTGTACTGTGATCTCTATATATCTACCTGCATGTTTACTCTTGTTAGATTGTGATCATTGTACCTTTTGCTCTATTATAAACCTGCATGTAAACTGGTCTTGTGACCACTTGCTTGTGCTCGGAATTTGGGTGGTATCCTTGAGATCCACCCTGAGCTTGGTTTTGCCTTGCTTTGCCTTGACTGGTCTTGTGACCCCTAGTTCTCCCCCACTTTGCCTATGGGGGTGTGTCAAACATTATATATGTTGTGTTAGTTTAGGCTACAGTGGGTTAGCCTATAGGGGGTACACAATTCTAGGGTTAGGTACTTGTACTCATTTCACTGCTAGTTCATTCACTCCTGTTCAGTTATTCCAACAATGGGCGCACTGACCCGCTACTTAAACAAGCCCTTTTATCCCAATGGTCTAGTGGTTGGGATTCTGAGAGTTATTGCTGTCCGTTTTAATAGCATGACTGGCAGACTTGTCTCCGCTGTTGGCGGAAGGCCTCCCGCTTCTCGAATGAATTTACGGAGAAGTGGTCGTGGTGGTTCTCCGCAACGTGATGGGGATCGGGACTCCTCTTCACGTCGTGAGCGTTCTCGCTCTCCCCGTGGCGGAAATTCTGCTGCTGTTACTGCTCTGGATTTATTGAATCGTGCGCGATAAGCTCCTCCTCGAAGCCCGAGAGCTGCAGGAGGCGATCGTGACGGATATTCCCGTCGGGATTTTCCTCCCGGATTTCACGGCGAACGACGTGCGGACGGTTTACGTGGAGGCGTAACGAACGCACTCGAGGGAAATGTCGCGCCCATTCCCGAGGAAGCCCCAGCAACGGCCGAAAACGCCACACGCGCGGCACCCTCTGGTCCTACTCGTGGCGATCGTAATGATCGCGACCCTGCGCGTGTGGACCGTAATCATGAGGGTCCTGCGCGTGGGGCCGGCAATCGCGATCTCGGTCAAGATCGCAATCTTGACCGCCACGCGGATCGCCAGGATCAGGACCAAGGGCAAGAATCTCGACGCCTAGATCCTGCACCTCGTCCGGCGAATCCGCGCGCTTCTCAGGATTGTCGAATCTCGCCTTCTGCAGCAGCGGATTTTGCCGAGATTCTCGCGCGTCTTGACCCGGCAGCCCAGCGAAACCTTCAGCGAATCTTCACGGGAGCTGCTGGCGAACGTGTTTCAGCGCGCTCCACTGCATCTACAGCGCCCCGCGCAGCAGAAAATTATTCCGCTCGTTATACCAACAATGAAATTCCTGCCGCCGCCAACAACGAAGCCATACATCACGTCATCGGCCTCCCCGCTGCTCTCCAACGCGGAAAAAACGGCGATCCCGCACCGCCTCCATGACCTAATCGTCCCGCAGCAGCAGCGGCATCACCACGCTCTCGCCTCCCCCCTCCGGCCAACGAATCCGATGGCGACGACGCGGGCGACAACGCACCCATCGAGAATTCGGATGAAGGTAATGCAGCCCGTCCCAAACCCAGCTCTGCCACCTTCAGCCTTGCTCCCATCCCCCCTGCTCGCCCCCAACTGCGTTCCTCCTTAGTGAAAAGTGATGGTATCCGCACGCAACGTTTTAGTTTCGAGCGTATTCAAGCTATTGCACGTCACGCCATTTCTGTTTTGCCTTCTAGCGGCGGCGAGCAAGCCGCCGACTACCTCCAGCAAATAGTTGACGAAGCGGAGGAAAAGATACATTTTCTCTTTACCGCCGACCAACGTGGTTTTGAGGTGGCCAATATGGCCTTAAAGATTAAATATGGCGAAGTGGTGGAAGATAAGAATGTAAAGGCTGCCACTCAAATCGTGGCGGCTAACAAAAAGAGACCTAATCGCCCCACCCATGCGAGCTCCCGTAGCGACCCTCCCCCTCGTGGTCGAGGCCAAGGAGAGCGTAATTGGAACACGTGGCGCCGTGACGGTGACGGGCATTGTTTCTACTGTCGCGAACCCGGACATGGGATCGCGGATTGCCCCCAGCGTGGCCACGGCGCCAATAGGCCCACTAAGATTGTGTAAAGATCTATGTATGATTGTGCCGTTAAAATTTTTCAGATCTACGAGCAACTGTCTTATTTAAAAATGATTGCCCTTTTTACTTTACCGATGCGATTCTACTAACAAAGTGAGAGAGAGAGAGAGAGAGAGAGAGAGAGAGAGAGAGAGAGAGAGAGAGAGAAAGAATATGAAGAAAGAGGGAGGAAGAGAAGGTGTTCAAGAGAGAGAGAGAAGAAAGGAAGGTAGGAGGTAATGCAAAAGAGACGAGTAAAAAAAAAAAAAAAAAAAAAAAAAAAAAAAAGATGATAAGATACGATTACGTGGCCTCAACACTCACCCTTCTTCGTACGCTCCTCCCTGCACCCCTTACCAGAGCTGGACATCCTCACAGCTCTCGACACTTCACCCACCGGCACACCTTTCATGCGTGGTCGCCTTGGTGCGTCCGCCAGCTGGTGGGCCGCCTGGTGTGATAGCCGCTTCATCATGTCAGTAATCACATCCGGCTACCGTCTTCCGTGGGCATCCTCGGAGCCCACTCCCCACCACGCGGCAAACCGCTCGGGTGCTATTCAATTTACCGCATTTGCGGTCGAGGCAGTCACCGAGCTACTAGCGACAGGAGCGGCCCGAATGGTGCATCAGCCCTTTAAATGTAGTCGTCCAACCTTCAAAAAAGAGGCTCATATTGGACCTTCGACACGTGAATACATTCTTGTCCGTCCCACGATTTCGTTACGAGGGCCTTAACCGGGTGCCCGACTTGGTGCATCGAGACGATTGGCTATTCACCATCGATCTGAAAGCCGGATACCACCATGTGGACATGCACCCCGCATATTGGCGGTTTCTTGGTTTCACCCTCCAAGGACAATGCTCTCAGTTCCTATCCCTGCCTTTTGGACTGGCCACTGCGCCGTTTGTCTTCACCCAACTAATCAAGTAGCTCGCAAAGCGCTGGCGCAGCAAAGGCATTCGACTTATCCCATATGTTGACGACATCCTTTTTATAAATGTCACTCGAGCTGAGGCCCTTCCCAATCGAGCTATCATCTTGGCCGACCTCACAGCGGCCGGATTCGTCGTCAACTCAAAAAAATCGCAGCTCGAGCCAAGTCAGTGCCTCAAATTCCTAGGACTCAGACTGGACTCGCGCACAACCTCTTTCTCCGTCGACGCTGATCGACGAGAGCGATTGCTTGTCGAGCTCCAACAGACTTGCACGCTTGGCGAGCGGGGGCGGCGCATCCCGGTCCGACGCGTCGCTCGCATTACTGGCATGCTTGCCTCTATGGCGCTCGCCCTCGGCACCCTCGCGCGTGCCTTTTCGCACAATCTACTTTCACAAATATCGGATTGCTCATCCTGGGGAGACTCAATCCTCTTGAACGCGGAGTCAATTGACGAGTTGCGCTTTTGGCTCTCCCAGTTCGATGTGTTCAACGGTTCATGTTTTCACAATCCATATCTATACGACATCGTGATGTATGTGGATGCGAGCGACAGCGCTTAGGGGGCTTGCTATTCCGCACCCGATGGTCGCGTCGGATCGCTTTCATCACACTTACCTCAGGCTCTTGTCGCCTCGTCCAGCACGCTTCGCGAACTCGCGGGAATTCTCTGGGCCCTCTCCTCCTTTGCTGACGAGGTTCAGTGCTCCACATCCTTCTGCGCAGCGACAGCCAGGCAGCCTATTACATTTTGAGGAAAGGGGGCTCACGTCGTTCCGAGCTGACAATTGTATGCCGGGCCATCATTCAGCTCTGTGTGCGTCACAAGATTCGACTGACGGTCCAATGGATCCCGCGCGAGCTCAATACCGAGGCTGATACATTGTCAAAACTGGAACTTCACGACGACTACTCTCTCGCGTGTCCTTGGTTCCTTTTGCTCGAGAGGCGTTGGAGGCCTCATTCCATTGACCTGTTCGCCTCACCCACCAATGCACAGCTGGCTCGTTATTGCTCCATGGAGTTTTCGCGAGCGGCCCTCGCGTAGGATGCGTTTTCAATTAGTTGGTTGGGGGAAAATTGTTACGCGTTTCCACCACCACCCTTTATTCCCGCCGTTCTCGCCCACACTCGCCACTCAAGAACCTCCCTCACCCTAGTGATCCCTCGCTGGCCTAGTGCCTTTTGGTGGCCTCTTCTATACCCAGACCGTTGGGCTAGTGATATCACCGCAACCCTTAGTCTTGCCTCTGGTTCCGACTGTTTGTGTGTTGGAAGTGATCCTTGGGCATTTAGTGGGGTTGGACTTCCTAACTCTCCTATGTACGCCCTTCGAATAATATTCACTAATAATTAATGCTTTTCGTTACGCAGGTCACCAGCTCGCCCCCCGGCTCTTAGACCTCTTGATGCTCACCGTCGATCTCCGTGCTCAGTCTACAATTCGCACGTACGAGCCATATTGGCGGCAATATCGCGCGTTTTGTACCATGCACGCTCTTCCTTTACTTCCTTCAAGTGATTTGACCGCGGCGTTATTCCTACTGCACTCAATCCGCAATGGCGCCCCTATTTCGGCTATCCGTTCGACATGTTCCGCCATTTCGTGCGCCCATTGGCTCGTTGGCGAACCGTCTCCTGTTCGCGGGCCACTCTCTAGCCAAGTGAAAGAGTATGCACAACGTCATTGCGGACGACCATCTAAGGCTAAAGAGCCTGTACCCCCAAAAAAAATATACGATATCTGCGACATATATTTTTCGTCATCCGACCCGGCCACATTCCAGCGGGGGCTGATCCCTCTTCTCATGTTTTCGGCCTTCTTACGCTTCTCTGACCTGATTTCCCTCAAGTGGCATCAGATTGAGTTTGACAGGGACTGCATGTGGCTATTTATTCCTCGCTCCAAGACGGACCAAGCCGGCGGAGGTGCTTGGGTCCCAGTGGCGGCATCCTCTGCCCGCCACTGCCCTGTCTCTCGTGTCCAACAGTTTCTTTTCCTCGCGGGCTACTCTCAAGATTCTACCGGCCCTCTTATCCGCGTGTTCCAACCGGGTGCCGGGGCTTCCACTTCTGACCATTCCCCTTCGTATGCTACCGTGCGGGGCTGGTGCCGCGATGGCTTTGCCCGCGTCGGCCTTAACCCGGATCTCCTCGGCACTCATTCCTTCCGTAAATCGGCGGCAACTGTAGCTGTCGACGTCGGAGTGCCGGACAGACTCTTCAAAGCCCTTGGTCGGTGGCATAGTGATAGGGCTAAGGAGCTATATATTACACAACTCCATCGCGAGCTTGTCGATGCCTCTCGCGTACTACAGGACCCTCTCCGATCTAGCCCGACCGATCGGTACTTGACCACATTCGAGAGGGGTCGCCGCCGACCTCTCCCCTGATGTCTCGTTCGACCTATGACGACTGTACTGCACACTCCTCTGAAAGTCGTGTCACAATATGAAAAAAAAATTGTAACAAAAAATTTACAGATTGTGGTTCGACTTGAAGAGGGGTTTGCTGTAAATGAGACATTCTCCTTTACCTTTCGGCAGGTCCTCGGGACCTACCACCTATGACGACTACACTGCACACTTCTCTGAAAGTCGTGTCACAATTGCCTGGTTGTGACTCAAGTTCCCAACTCCAACGCAATTGACGACGGGGGGGAGACAACCCGCGCAAGTCCGCCAACAATGAAGTGTGTTTCGCGTCGAACTCCCAACACAAACATGGTAAATCTTTGCCTCCACCCCCCAAAAAGTGCACCCTTGCTAGCTCGCCCACTACAGCCTACACAACATAAGTAGCAATACATTTTGACATATATGCCCCTGACGCGGTTGGCTGTGACCCACGGCCAGAGATTCCGTCGAGCTTCTGTGTGCGGCTGAACCATGCAAGTGATGCTTCGTTACAAGAAACCCACGTCAGTGGAAGGTCCGACGGAGCTTCTGCTAACGGAGCATCTCCTGAAGGCTGAAAGGTATGTGCGTCAGGGGCGCGTCGCTGCGGCAGTTCAAGCTGAGCGGAACCGGCGTGCAGTCCGCCACCCGCCTTGCCGCCCCATACGTCCCTTGTACTACTCAGGCCAAATTATCATGTCTGTGGTTGGGCGCTTCCCCCAGCGCAGGCACACGAGTACCTGAACCAATCCGTGCGGTGAACACAACACCCCGCGAAATATCTGAGGTGGCCCCACCTCCGCGCGTTTTTTTCGTGTCTGTCTGAGTGAGGCGAGCTGTGTCTCCGCATTGCACTCCGTCACTTGACCGCCGTTAACCTGCCAACCGCCAGCTCCGCAAAATGCCCGAGCACCTGCGCTGCGCTCCCTCCTTTCCCAGCACGCACAACACCGTGTTTTTACCTGTAGTACAGGCAACCACGTATATCGCGTCATTACCACCAACTTCGGCGACGATAGTGACCAAGTACTACTATTTAAACTCGCTCGTCTCATACCCGTTTATATGCCCACGCGTACCTTCCTTTGGTTCCGCTTCTCAAACCTACCCGTGCCTAGCTAATCGTCCAGCCGTCGCATTTCGCCATTGTTCATCACGGCTCAGAAGACGGATTGTATCAAGTCAAGCGAAGCCGGTGCCTCAAAGGCTCGAAGCCTCGCCATCACCGCTCGTACGACGTCTGAGAGTCTTCTTCGACGTTCTCCCGCCTCCCCTTGGCCCTCTCGAAGCCTCAACACATCTCGTTGCGCGCCGTCCGTCGTCGCCATGCCTCGCTCGCTCTCCGCAATTGCGCTCGTCGCCGCTGGCCTGCTCATCCTGCTCGTACGCCCCTCTCCCTCGCTCCAATTCGCTGCTCTCCTATTTTCTGCTCCAATTCTCGGGTTCCTTTCCGCCGATTCGCGCGCCCTCTTAGCTCGAATACTTGCGTTAATCGTGTCACCCCCTTTCCTTTCCCCCTCCTCTTCCCGCCCCCCGCACCCCACCCCCCCCCCCCCCCCCCCCCCCCCCCCCCCACCCATGTCGTCTCTCGCACGGCGTCGCATCGCGCCCGCCGCCATCGGATTGCTTCCCCCCCGCCCCGCTTCCATTGTGCTCCTCAGTCGCCTCTCGCCTCTCGCCTCT